CTCTCTCTCTCTCTCTCTCTCTCTCTCTCTCTCTCTCTCTCTCTCTCTCTCTCTCTCTCTCTCTCTCTCTCTCTCTCTCTCTCTCTCGCTCCTTTTCTTTCTATCTTATTTCTCCCTCCTTTCTGTCTTTCTCTCTCCTTCTTTTTTCTCTTTCTCTCTTCTCCGTTTCTCGCACATTCACCTGGCAACCTGAGCTCGCCTGAACGGCCATCTTGAGGTGCGCCGTCATATCGCCGCTCCTCGTCTTTCCTCCGGGCTGTATTTTCCGCTCGTCCTTGTAACCGGTCGCGTCAAATGCGCCGCCGCTGCATCAGCTGCATGTGCAAAATCTCGCGACGTGCAGCAAAACACTAGTGCCGATAACGTTCGTCGCGTCAATTGTGCCTACACCTGGCTGGTTTTCGTCTCTCTCGCGCATTCCAATAAGGTCCTGTATTGCTGACGTCGTTGGTGTTGTTCTCTGGAATTTCTCGTCAATCCTGAGGAAGGTCCTCCGGACATTACGGTAAGTTGGATTTTATATAATGCGAAAATTCATGCAATCGAACAATTCATAATCCTCACACACGCGAAATTTGGCGGTCATTTATTTGTCTGGATCACGAAATAAAATAAAATTAATCCTACTGGAATCTCGTTTCAATTTAATCTAAAACAAAACGAACAGATCTTAATCAAAGAGACTGGTCGTTAATCAAATCGAATAACCTTTCCGCGTATAACCTGCGAGTTTATTTCAGAGATCTGTTTCGCTACAGTTCATATCCTACGTTCCATGGTACGATTGATCGAGCGGAGAAAAGATACTTGCGCCGATCGAACAATCGGTGAACGTGCCTGAACACGCCTGGACGTAAATGTCACGGACAGCACAGCCGTCTGTCCGATACGCGGATACGAAACGTGCGATCGTATCGCTAATTCTGAACGCACGATGGGATCGACGATGAGGAAACGGTCGGGAAGTGAATGAAAGAAGACCCCCGAACTCTAATTGCAAAGAAGAGAGAGAGACGTGCTCCCTCGATTCCGGAGAAAATCCACAGTTGGATCAGGAGAGTGGCTTAATCGCAAAAGTCGTCGCGGCTGTGTGTCGTCGGAGCAGCGAAAGTAAAGATTCTTTGTTCATGCGAGAGGTTTCCTCCGGACGGACTCGCGTGACGGGACTCCGCGTGTCTCACACACGGTGACTCCATTGTTGCTAGAACAATCGGACCTCGAGGAGCACATTTTCCAAGATCGACCACCTTCTGTCGCGCGTGTTGGCGCGAGGAATCGCGATTCCGTGGATCTTCGTCCCTTTCGCGATTCAATCGGCAATTTCTCTCAGTGGTCTCCTCCGTTCCGCATTTGCGTTCCGTATGGAATTCGCGGAGTTGATGTTGTGGTCCAACGATTTCGCGAGGAAGAATCGCTGCTGAACGACGTGCCGGTCGGGACATCGAGTTTGCGTTAGTTGATCGACGGCAGCAATCATTCCGGAAGAATGGGTTCGAAGATCGAGTACGTCGAGTCATCGCACATGTACGCGACTAATTACATCCGCAATTCCAAAGCGATTGGCGTCCTGTGGGGTATCTTCACCATATGTTACGCCATCATCGGCGTCGTCGCATTCGTCACTCCGGAATGGCTTGGCGACCTGGAACACGAGAATCCCGGAAGATTTGGTCTGTGGACCAGGTGCAGCTATGGCGGCAATGGTACGTCTCTCCTGCAATTCTTACGTTATTATTTGACATGAAAAAGGGATTTTCTTTGATTGTGATTTATTTCGAAAAATGACATATTTTATTAGTTCTGATTTGACAATAAAAATAATTTATTTTAATTTATAAAGCAATATAATAGATTCGAAATAACAAAGAAATTTTAATATATTTAGAATAAATGAATATAACTTATATTCAATTTCAGTATTTTATTTATTAATTAACAAACAATATTTGATACAATTATTTTTTAATTATATTATCTTTTGCTTTTATCACCAACTTGAATTTTTTTAATTCTCCACGTGGCATTATATCTGATGATGCCGCATTAAAATATTTTAAAGCTTTAAGATATTTTTACGGTCGTCGAATTTTAAATGTTTATTAATTTAAGATTTAATAAAAAGTTGTTATTTATAATATTTGAGAGCAGGCGCCACTAGATTTTAAAACAAGCCTCAAGCTAATGCATAAAAGCAAAAGATCATAATCGAAAAATAATTGTATTAAATAATTCTTATTAATTAATAAATAAAGCACTGAAGCTAAATTTAAATTATTATTTATTCTAAATCATTCATTCTAAATATATCGAGATTTCTTTGCATACCAAAATATATTTATCATTCTATATATACTTTGTTGCATTTAATTTTTTTACTATTACTGATGTTTCTTAGTGATAATTTCTTTACGTTTCAAAGTTTGAAGAATTAATTAAAGGCATCATTAGTTCATTTAACATTTCTTAATTACATAGGTGAACTGGGCGAGGAATGTATCGGCCGTTTGGACGATCTGTCGACCATCGCCAACGTTCCCTTCCGCGCCAGCACGATTCTAGTCGGCGTCGCGGTGATAATCGCGCTTCTGGCGATCTGCGCGATGCTCATGTTCTTCTTCTGCCAGAGTACCACTGTGTTCTACATATGCGCCTGGATGCAGGTGGTATCAGGTAATTATCCGAGTCGCGCGAGATAAGTACAGATATCCATAGGTTCTCTCTCGTTGTCGATCGTCGCGAGATCGTCCCGCAGCGCCCAAATGGCGCGTCTGTTTTTAGAAAGCGCAGAGCTAGCTAGGCTAATTCAACGTGGCCCGTTACCGCAATCTCGGCCGTAATTCCTTTATCAGCGAGATGCAATTGCAAATTGCGCTGATGCGCCGCGCCGCGCCGCGCCGAGCTGGATCTCATTCGCGCGGGACCGGGAAGTGACGCAATCGCTCCGCTTAATGCGCCTTTATTGCGGTGAGCTTTATCGATCGGCTTCATCTTCGATGTTGGAGATAACGGCTTTAAAACCGATGCCGGTCGTGGGCCGGAAATTGCTCTCGTGTCACGGTTTCGCGCTCGCGAGAAGACTTTCATAAAAATCTCGATCGGCGAAATCGAGCGTGCGAGATCTCGTTAGGTATGTGTGCCAAATAATTAAATGTTTCGCGATGCAGTTTTCGTTGCATAAATGTACTATTTATTCGTGAACAGTGTCCAGTCGATCTTTTTGCTCGGTTAGAAAGCGCACGGTAACCGCAGAATTGTCCAACGTTGCTTGCGTAACGACTGAAGCGATAATAATAGTATTGCGAGAATAACTGCCTCATTGATGGATGACGTGTCATCAGACGTCCGCGTTGACTGAATCGCTATAGGTTATTAGGTAGTTTTATACGTGTGCCATTTTTATAATATATTCTTTTATACAACGAAAAGTGTAAGGATGCACGGAAAGAAACAATTTTGCTGATCTGAAAATAATTATGTTATTAATTATTAATAATTATGTGCGACATCCAAGGGGATGGGGTTGCTAAAACAAAAATTCTATGTTGCAAAATTTTTGCAGTATAATTATTTTGTTTATTAATTATTTTTAGTTCTGACCAAATTTTTAGATTTTAAACGCAACAAAATTTCGTATGCTTTTTAAGAATAATAAAAAGAAGAAAAAAATAAGGAATATTTCATGAAGAAAACTTCATTATCAAGCATTATATATATATCTCCCGGGCTTACAATTTCCGGATTTCCTTTCAGGTCAAAATACAATCATTTGAAATTCTAATTAGAATATGTAATACATAAACTGGAGTATATAGATATATATGTCGAGAGAGAATAGCCGATTTGCGCTAAATACGTTGATACTTTCTCCAGATAACTCGCATTATCCGAGCACATGTACATATAACTTTTAGCATTTCCGCGTCGCGATTTCTAAGTTCGTTATCGGGAATCCGCTTCGGTAAGTGCGTCGCCGGGACACGCGTGTTTTCTTGCTTCACAGCATGTCTCTCGGGACACATATATCGCGTAACATTTCTCGGCATTCGGAAGGTTCTTCTTTTGCAATTGTAATCGCGGTTGATCGTCGCCCGCGGACGAGTCGCCAACGAGTCGCGTGGCGGCTCAGCGAAATGTAGAATAGACCGTTATAACGTGTTCAAGCCAGTCTGCATATACCGTTCGTTAACACTTCTATGATTAACGTAAACCGACTGCGATCTTGCCGGTCGAGTCGATATTGAATTATCAAAGTAATTTAATCCCGGAACTGCATCGCTAGGCTGCATCCTGAGAACTCAGACACAAAGAAAGAAAGAAACGAGAAATTAAAAGTAAGAAGAAATGAAGAATAGATAGATTAAATTTCGACATATGGGAAGAATAATAATTTTCTCTATTTTTAATTTTTCATAATTTCTTATTCTTTATTCTCGTTTATTGTATGTGAACTTTAAACTGAATTATTATGATTATATTCGTATTTAAATTAGTTTCGCAATTCGGCGATCTACTCCCTTAATGACCGAGAGCCGATTCCTTGATAAGATACGTATGTGTCAGAGGTACTTCTAAATTATACATCTTGGGACTTTAATTTACATGTTTAATCAGTAAATAATATTGAACTGTACTTTTACAAATAAAGTAGATTTTCGTTTACACTTTTACAGGAACGAATAAACTTTAAACGTATGATGACATGTAATTTATTTGTGAAACTTGCGTAGCGTACGTCGGGAGATGCTGACTAACGAGTTGACGAGCGTGTAATTTGTTTAACGGACGTAACTTACGTAAGCTCGAACGTCTGGCAACAAAAGTTTCGGTGGTGTCAGCGATTCGTTGCAAGCAAGCGTTACATTGCCGGCTCAAGTCACGACAGTGAAAGTTACACGCCAAGTCGTGCTCGATCCGTAGCGTGAAACGTGAAGAGGAAAATGTATCACCGCGAGAAATGAGATGATGTTTCAAGTATATGAATTGTAAAAATTAGGACAGTAACAGTAGATTATTGTGATAGCAGTTTTTATTGCCAACCTTAAGTTCTTCAAAAGTTGGATGTAGAACGCATAAGAAAGATGTATTACAAAGTAATTAGAAATGAAATAAAAATAAAAAAATGAAAGACACAATAGTATGGAATATTAGCAAGAATAAAGAAATTTTGAAAGAAAAAGCTATAAAATGAAAAAAAACGGTTATGCTGAAGTATTTAAAAATTGGGCCAGATATAGGAAATAATTTTATCGAGCCAAATAATTATGTAGGACACTAGCACTAAAAAAAGAGAATGAATATTTCAAAAATTTTTTACATTCTGCAACCAATTTGTGGATCCTATATAATTATTTTAACGATCCAACACAATTATTTTATAATTATAAGATTTGTATCTAATCAAATTTTTAGATATTTCATTAAAATTGTCTTTCCGTGTGCAAACGAAAGAAGAAAAAAAGAAAAATTGCGTAAAAAAAAATAGAGTCGTGGAAAGAATTAATAAAATTGAGTTCCTCGAAAACAATTGTAACGTGTGTTTCATTGCGAGGGAACGATTCGCGCATTGAAATCGCTCGCGAAACAATATCTCGTCTCGACTCACCGTGGTAAACGTAGCGGGTCGCAGAAAAATTACGGTTGTTCAAGTCCCTTTCACTACCGGCCTCGCATAGTCACCTGCACAATTATATCCTTATAAACACGAGAGTGTGTTCCACGTTTCTGTCGCATTTAAACTGTGACATGGATCGACGGCAAAAGACGGAATCGTAAAGACAGACAAATTATATACTAATGTATATTCCCATTGCCTCTTATTAATTATCTTTTGAGAAAAAGAAAGAGTCAATGTACGAATCACAGCGCGAGCCACGTTTATAATCGATCGAGCAACTTTCAATAATAACATAACTAAATCATTTTATAATTAAACTAATGTTTCGAATGTTTTTTTTTTTTTTTAGCTATTTGCATGGCGGTCGGAGTCTGCATTTATCCTCTCGGCTGGGACTCGCCGGCAATCCGCGCTGTATGCGGCGCAGCTGCATCCAGGTGCGTATTCATGCAAGAAATAAAAATGTAAGCACTCAAACAGAACAAAAGTCATGATGTTAAAAAATGACTTTTATTCTGCTCAGTCAAGATTAAAATAACAAACATTTCCGGATGATTTTTCTTATACACTTGCAGTCGTACTTTGCTTAATACTCAAAAACGTATTGAATGAATAAAAATGTAAAATTTTATCATTATAATTTATATAGAGTTTAATTTTTCGAAAGTTCGTAAAGACATTGTACATTTATAAAAAAATTTTTGATATAGATGTCTTCTTCAAATCGGTATTCATCAAAAAGCTTACGTTACTGGGGAAATTTGCGACTTCCTGCAAGTTTTATATTGTGATGTTAATCATCTCAATTAGATGCACCTCGCATGCAAATTATTACTGCAAAGTGATAAATAATGCTATATCTTATACACTGAAAACATAATTACGGTAATAATAAATGTGAAAAAACAGTAATTATGAAGCTATTCTTTTGACAGGTACAATCCTGGCGCTTGCGCTGTAAGATGGGCAATACCGCTTGCTGCAATTGCAGCTTTGGATGCAGCAACCTTGTCTGCTCTTGCCTTCATTTTAGCTTCTAGACATGTGAGGCTACAACCGGAACCTTTCAACAACGGATCTTTGTACAAAGGTGATTGATCGCAAGCGATTCTTTAAAAAAAATTATTATTTTTCTAAAAATTTCATCTTTGTAAATTTAAAATCTTTGTAGTTTAAGAATAATCGAAATTACAAATCTTTTTACTTAAGAATAATTGAAATTTTTCTATAAAGTACTTTTTTTGTTTTTTGTAATTGATCTCAGGTGGCATTTAGAACTGTAAATTTTTATCATTCATTAGAGAGAATATTTTCAAATGTTTTCTTTCATGAGAGTATTAAAAATCACGTTTTTTTTGTTCATCCTCAAATTTCTTTATAATCTAGATCTAAGTTCATTTTTCAAAAATAGTATGAATGTAAGAAACATATTCTTTTCAAATTTCGATAACTCTTTGGTATTATTATACAACCAATGCATCTTTAACTTTTTAATAAGAGCTAGTGCGATAATGCAATTTTTCACTTATTTTAGGTGAAGTAAATCCCGGCTATGTTAACGAAGCTCAGAGCGTGGCTGGCTCCCGCAAGTCTTTATCCTTGAGACCGGTTCTCCTGGTAGCTCCGCCTGACCAAGATCGTTACAGCGAACTCTCCAGAGCGAAGTCGCACTCGCATCACAGTCTGTACACACCAGCACCATCGCATCCGGTGCATACCATGTCTACGAATACTCTCAATCATTCGCAGCACAACTTTCAGCTTTGAAATGGTTTGATTGTGCGAAATTAAATGGGCCTGTATATAGCCATAAGAAGAAATTGTACATAAAATGAAACAACGATAATATGAAACGATAATATGAATTGATGGAATTTGAGCTACTTAAGCGCAATTGCTTAGATTAAGTTTTTGCTAAATATCAAATTTCATCAAGAGGATAAATTTTTTAAAAACAAAATCATATATAAAACAAATGTGATCAACGAGTTGTTTCATTCAGCGACTAAATGTTCATTTTTGTGCCGTGAAAATTTCCATATCTACATGTAGATGTAGGTACTTTTAGTATATCTTAACGATATGTGCCGAAAAGAACTGTCTTTCTTAGACTATTGATCTTTTTACATATATATAATTATTACAAAGTTAATAAAGTTTACATAAGGAAATCTATTAAATTAGATGAAACGTTATTTAATTATATTAATTTGTGAAATAATCCTTTTTATTAAGGAAAAAACAGAACTTGTTTATGTATTAACATATATTATGTATATGTAATTAGAGAGATTAATCAAGTAATTTCATAATTTTGAATATATTAAGTTATCTAAGTTGCGCAATATATATTAAATGATAATATTAAAAAAGTTTTTATAGATGCTGTAATCCGTGCCGTATTGTCGGAAATATATCACTTTCGTTATATAATTATTTAAACAATTACTCAATGACGTGCCTTGGTACTGTAGTGTCGAGAATAATATTTGTAAATTAAACTTTTTATCATAAAATTACTATCCTGTGAATACTTTACATAACTATAGAACACTTGTGCCACTCTGTAACTTGTAATTATTTTGACGAAGTAGTATATAGAGAAGCATAATTTGTATGTAAATAGATTCTCCTCTTCGGAATGCAGTTTCGTTAATACTCAATAAAAATTAATGATTATTCATAAACTGTCGGATCGTAAAAGTCGTCAGGGATGACGAACTACGTCGGCTATGACATTTTGGTATGCGACCGCATCGCTGTCATCGCTTTTCCTTATAATCGCCGACGTGTGACATGAAATACTCTGGGCATAAAGACGTGCAAGATAAAGACGGTGCACATATCATTTTGACTAGTGTATTTAATGATATCATACAGGATAAGTTTATATTACGAGTATTATTTAATCGATAACTTGCATAGTCTTGCGCAACTGTCTTCGTAAGTCTGCGACGACATAACTATATCCTTCAACATCTTTTTTATTCGATTCAAATCGCAGTATAATTAATTTTTTATCCTCCTTTCTTGCCTGACTCTAACTCTGGATCATTTCTAAAGTTTGCGGGCCAACGAGACCGTTCAGACGCAATTATTATTGTACAGAACTATTATTCTAATTATCAGATCTTTTTGATATGAGCATTCTGTGCAACAAAGTCGAAATCTTGCGGCAAATATCTAAAACTCTATTTTTGACATTTTCGATAAGGGACGTGCAAAAATTTCACGTTTCACTTTGTCTCTTTTTATTCTGGATTTATTACGAATAATTTGACGCATGGAATGCTCACAGTTCTTCGCGTTATCTACATCTAAAATAAATATTTCAGGCGAATGCCTACACGAGTAACGGACCTTTTCCTTTCAGGACGTGTTTTACACTCATCTTAAGATCTAATAATCTCCGTGTATGGCAAATAAAGGGCAAGTTTGAGCGTCGGCGTATTAGCTTCCGCTTGTAAGACAGCCAGTGTAAGTACAGGGGTGTGTGGTTTCTCGTTTATCTTCGTGCACAAATTATTCGGCCAATTTGCAGCGGGGATCGTTTTTGAAAAGAGGAGCCATAAATAGAAGGAGGCGCGAGAAACGAGATCTCTTCTGCACTTCCTGCTGGATCAAGACATCACCCCGAGACAGCCCGCGAGCATGCAATCGGCAGGCGTGAGGCAGCAAAACGAGCAAATCGTTCGGCATTAAAGCACTAGAGTTTTATAGTGCATTAATTAGTCCGCGATGAGGAACGAGATACAAAGGTTTACAACGTTATAAATGCAAAGGGATAGAAACACGGGGGAAGGTGGGATGGGGGAGGCCCTACCGGCCGCTCGGTAACACCGCTATTTAATTCCCATTTTCTTTTTTTACGCGAGCGACGTATCGTCGTATTTTACAAGGTATACACACGGCGTGTCCACGTATGACACCCTCGACCGAACCGTTTATGGCTTTACTGCACCTTCGCCGTCGCAACCGCGGCTTCTTACGTGCATATTCCATCCGCGTGCTTTACAGCCGTTTGTTTATTAGGCTTTCATTTAATTGCCCGCGCTGATCTCCGTGCCGTGTATAACGGCATCGCGCAGCTATTTCGCACCGGGCTCTAAAATGCGAACTACAATGGAGACGCGGACACGTAATTACCCGCTCGAGCAACACCGTCGAACGGACTGTCGAAGACGCGTTCAAGATTTAGCCGACTATTTAAGCTAAATTGAAACGTCGTCGAAACTTTTATTAGACGTAATGCATTTTCTTCGCATCGGCGGTTATTACGTGGGCGCGGAATTCTGTCTTGACTAACTGCTCATACGGAATGCACGTAAAATGTCGAATTTTATTGCATGACGACGATGGCCTGGGAGCGCTGAATTAATCGCGTTACGTTAGTAACGTGGTAATTATCTCGCGGAGAAGACTGGCAACGTTAATTGATATTTCACCGCCAGCGATTCGAGATAAATCAGTGAAAGTATTGGAAAACTTCTCCCGGATTTCCAAGCGCTCTTTTTTCACCGGTTCTTAACTAGCCGTACGCAATTACATAGTTAAGCGAAATCTTGGGTTCTCGAAGCAATTAACAGCCGAACGCCAGCGAAAAACGACGATCAAACTTATGCGCAACGCGGAACGGAAGGAAGCAAAATAATTTAATTATAAGTTAACATACACAAGGGTTACATGTACTTCACTACGTTACGATCGACACTATAGTCTTCGATTCTAACAATATATATATATATATGGCGCTTCGCGTACCATTCTTTTATTTTACTTCACAGAACAGCCGCGTTCTCTCGCGGAGAAGGAATTAGAAACTTCAGAAACATTCAGAAATATCTTCTAATCCCTTCCGTCGTATCCCTTAATCGATACTCTAAGACATCTATGATATTTGCTACTCTCACTGCACTCACAAGGGCTACTCATCTGGTGCAAAGAAATTACTTTCAAGAGTATGCGACAATACTCAATCTTCAATTCCGCTGCTCAGCTTTTCATCGAATACCTTTCATACGGTTTTTCTTTGCACCTGTTAATACTACACACGTACCTACAGTCAACAGTGTTATGCTCACACCATGTAACATTCGTCCGGGCCGGGGATTCACCACTGATGAATCTCGATTTAGTTCGTACTTTGCGTAAGCACGCAAAGCAACAAGTATTTTTGCCTTACAGCCTTCGTTCGGGGCGATCTCGACATCCTCGATTTTTTCTTAGATCTCCTTGCTTACGATAATCCCGCAAGGTTGCACCACACCGATGTTGGGTAATCTAGGCCTCCTGGACGCGGATTTGTTCTCGTCCTTCTTGAGCAGTTCCTCTATCGAATAGGGATTCTTCTTCTTTTGCGGCTGGGGCGGTTGATTCTCTACCGCCGCTCCTTCGTTCGTCGTCGTCGTCGTGCTCGCACTCGTGTTCTTCGCTTCCTGACTTCTATGCGATGTCGGGTAATCCCGCTTTGACGTCTCGACGATCGCTGTCGGGCTTCCTCGCGGATTGTCCGAGTTCGTAGCCTGCGAATTTGGCGTGCCGTGCCTGACGAACGCGCTTCGATCGCTGCCGATCTTCTGACTGAGCTCTAGAATGATCGGCGTGCTCCGAAAGGACTTGTAGTGATCTTGTGCCTCGCCCAGGTTCTCATCCAGGTCGCTCTTGTCCAGCGAGTCGTCGCTGCCGGCCGTCGAGCTCGAGCTCGATTTCAGTTCCAGCTGACTCTGCGCGCCGGTTTGCTCCGACAAACGTTCGGCATCCAAAGGTCTACGAGGACGAAATGTTTATAAAAATATATCTAGAATAAATAATTTTGTGTTAAATTGAGTCACAAATAAATTGATTCAGAGAGAAATAGAATGTAATTATCGCCTGATAGTTGACGTCGTCAACTAAGTTTTAGTAGTGATTTAGGAAATTATCTCTCAATTTAATAGCTGAGGTATCAAATTTGTCAGTTTTTATTGGTATAAATAAATTTTATTTTAAAAGACGGGACTTATTTATGACTCAGTTCAATATCGTTAAGTCAATTTTGTCCGGACTTGTGGACTTACGCGAAGGACTGCATCCCATGTTGCAAGTGCAAGGTTGTCGCTTGATAGAGGGACGAGTAGAAGCTTTGATTCCATGATGGCGTCCCGGTATTGCCGGTATTCGTAGAAATGTGCAACGGTCCTAGAGCACCCGGATAGAACAACTGATAATCCGTTCTCATAAGTGCATCTGCGAAAGAACAATTGCGACTTATTATTGCCACGATTTCTATGTTGCTTCTCAGCCACTTCAAAATCTCTTAACGATATAATATAATAAACCAGAATTTATCAAGGAATACGCGGGCACGTGTTCTTGCATATTGTATACGCAATCTGTTTGAGAAGAATCCAGATTGGACGAGCGATATCAATGCTCGTGATCTCTCCTCATTTTCGTGCTGAATTTAATCGCCGTATAAATAAATTCTCTATGTTGAACTTATTTTTTTATTGTTTGAGAAGTAAATCTTTTCATAATGTCTAATAATTAGAGATCTTATAATTTTTCTCGGTCATCAAAAATATCAAATGTTTCTATTCTGATTTCTATCCTTGTTTACAAGTAATCTAAGTTGAATTGCAAATTAGTATATCCGCGTATATGTCTTGAATGACGTTACTAACAACAAGAGAAACTTTTCTTGAAAATAGATATTGATTTTTTTTCTTTTCATTGTGATATTGATGCCGTCTCAAGGTATTATTTTAATTAAGTACAAAAATGAGTTCCTTTTTAGACGTTAGAAAAGGAACTGTCACTCGCGAGCGAAATAGTTTGAGGGAAAGATGAAGACGAAAGAGAGTCCGGACGCTCGTTTCGCAATTAGCTGCTCAAAGCCGGTAAATTGAGCACCACGCTTCCAGCATCCAGCGGCACAAATTGCGAGTCAAATTTTCCGTTTCGACAGCGCGGGGTTGCGTGTCTGTTGCCCTGCCCGGTCTGCGTGGCTTTTGCTGACGAGTCAATCACGGCAACGGGGTATCTCGAGAGATCTGCCCCCTTCGTTCCCTCCCTCCCTCCCTCCTTCCCTCCCGCTTGTCACGATCGTTCCCGCTATTCTTCTCCTTCGGCGCGCTCGCCGTCGCCGATTTCGGACATTTATCGTCTTTCTTCTGGAAATGATCATAAAAGGAAAGGAAGAAAGGGAAGATCCGTTGCCGCACAACGATTCCACGCTAGGGACAGGTGTTTAAGGCGTTATTAGTCTGTAATGATGCGCTCGTAGCAAAGCAGCTTCGATCTACGTATAATGACTCGGAAAGCTTCACAATGAAAATACGCGCTCGCTCGATCGCAATCTCGAACTACCATCCGTCTTTTTCTTCTCGTTTAAATATCCGGCAGATTCACATCGCTGCCCGACAATGAAAAATAGAATCCTGATATCCTTGTTATCTGCTTTCTGATTCTTACCTCTGGCTCCAGCGTTCGACGGAATCTGCGACGTGTATCCTCCGGATGCGCCGCTCTCGATGGCAGGGATGTCGGTGTGAAGCCCGCCACCCCTAAGAATACGATTGACCGATGACACGGAGGGTAAGCTCTGGGGATCGCAAGCTCCTTGTCGCGCGAGTTGCTCGCGGATCTCCCAAGCAAACATTGTTGGCTGTTCTTGTTTCATCCGTAAGATCTTTTTCACCACCGTCGGCGTAGCTACTTGCTGCAACATATACAAAATATAAATTAAATAAATATATTATGTAGGGATAATATTTCATTTATTTAATACATATTCCATCTATCGTTTATTATTTTCTAATGACAGATTCTTCAATCGATTTAGAAATCAAACTTTTCTTTTTATGAAAATATGGAGGGAGAAAGTGGAGCAAATATTTAACTTTTTAAATTGTGTATTTCTATAACAAAATCAAATTTGTAAGAATTTTTCTTATTTATCTCTGTAAAGTTTGATTTCTGAAGAGCTTCTTTCTTTCATCATTTAAAACTCGAAAATGTGATACCTCAAAATAAAGGTAATTATTTATGTGAAGAAAAACTTCTTCTAAATTGAAGCAAAAAAATCTGTCGTTGAAAAATAGTGCTTTAAAAAGTACTTTACTTAGTTTACAATTTATTTTGCATTTTATTTCTCATTGTAAATGAAAATTTTCAATTTTAAACGTTAGCTTTTATCTTCCATAAGGAACCCACCGATTTATCGGTGCCAGAATGTCGTTGTTAATCATTTCGCGAATGATCTTTTTTTAATAAAAACCGCCAAACCGCGCGCGTTATCTCATCGACAAATTAACACAAACGCGGTCACACCGTCGTCGTAGCGAATTGCACACGCATATGTCGTTCACAGGTGAAGAGCACGACGGGGTCGTCAATCAGATAGCGAGGTGAGTCCGTCCGGTGTGGTGGGCGACGGTACCTACCCACTTTATTTCGGTTTAGCCCCCGTTCGCCAAAGAAACGGGTTGGCTGGTCGGCTGGTACCGTCCGCCGGTGCTGTTGCCTGCCACGAGGCCCACCATCGGTTTCACTCCTCCAGAAGGGGGTCTCAGTGGTGCTCATCTGGTTGCGCGGCCAATTTGACTTGCTAATGAACGGTAATGGCACGCGGATAATTTTATGCTAACGCGATGGAAATATTATTCCGGCCGTACAGATTTCGAGATCACCGATTTCTTTGGGGCAGGCGCGACGGCAGGCGCGAGCGAGACGCGCCGAGATATCTCGCTCGGAGGGAGATGATCATCTTCACGGGCCCGGGCCCGGGCACCGTCGCGGGAGTTCGTGCACGTATGCGCGTATTCGCCGTGCGGAACGGTATCACCGAACCTGTCGATTACCGGCACCGATCTCATTTCGCGAGAAGATCGATGCCTCGGCGTTCCGCGCGTCGATAATCTGTACTCGGTCGCGTGGGCTCGATACGATCTCTTTCTCGGCAAATTGTTTCGAAGAGGAACAGAATAAATACCACGGTGCATCGAACAGCGATCGATACGATCGGACGTCGATTGATGTACATACTTTGAAGGCGCTGCTAAAAGCATTACGAGCCTTGAGTTATCAACCGTCACCGCGTATTGCCTCCGTACGCGATCCGAAGCTAATTTCTTCTCGCGAGAAAAAGTGCCATTCGTAAATCTCGCGGAAGATAATTTCTGTCGCGAGCCAAATGTCAAGTCTAATTCGGCCGAAGCTATCCTCCTCTCATTTCGGTTTTGAATAGTAACCAGCGAAATTAATATATGGGATACACGAGATGTCATTATCCGAAATCCTCGCAGGTGAAAGCACCACTGGCGGGAACGTTTAAGGGCTAGTGCCTCGGGGGTAGCGAAGACCCGGAGAGAGGGCCGCCTAATAGTTTGAGGGGGTTAGGACAAGCATCGCGTGCTCCCGGGAGCATCTCAGATTCTAATCTGACACTTCCGTCGTCGTCGTTGCCACAATTACCCCTGCTCCGACAACATGTACGGTGCGTCCTAATGCGGACCCTCGCGTCGCCGTTCGGGCACATCGAAGCGCGGACACGCACGTGAGCATGCATGCACGTACGCGTATATACGTGTACGTATTGCGCGTGTATGTGTGTACCATCGGAGGAAATTGGCTGGACAGGATGGACATCTGGCACTAAACGTTAGATAACCAGCCATATATCGGGCCACGTATACGAACAGGTTCACCAACTCGGTAATTATCGCGCGTAAGTTGCACGCCCCGCTACATACATACGACCCGAATGCCCGGAGTGCTGGTGAATGATAAGGGCGACGAAGACCGTCGACACCTTCCGCCCCATTTTTTTTTCCCATGTCACCTGGACGCGCCATTGTATCGTCGGAAGTGAGAGATAATTGATTCGTTAAGAAAATGAAACAAAAATAAAAGCGATTATCTAAGAAAATCAATTAACTCAGATTCTCTGAGAGCTTTATGTTCATTAAAATTAGAAAACTAATAATTTTATATAAAATTTCAATTTAATATTAGTAATAATATATTAAAATTAGCATATTCTGTAAGAAATTTTTAAATTATCATTAAATTAATTATCGGGTTATCAGAGGGAATATATTAGAGGGATATATAATTCTGACTTTGGCTAGCTACATTGCAAATCCGTTAAAAAGTAATAATATAATTTTTGTATACCTTATGTTACGAAATGAAAAAAATACAATTCAGAATTATAAGCTATTTATGAACTTTCGAATTCTGCAAATTAAAAATTTCGAATTTATCACTATAGCTTGAAATTTGATTGTTTGGAGAGGCTGAGGGAAATTTCTGATTTGGTAAAAACAATGGCTGTACTAACGTAAGATTAAAATTAACATAGAAAATGAAAAGCAAAAAATGAAAAGCAGGAAATTAAAATGAATACTTTTGTAGCGCTATTTTTTTGCTAATTAATTACTCTGTTAATTAGGTTGCACGCCAGATGCACGAATAATAATAACATATTAATAGCAAAGAAACGAAGCTTAATGAAATATCCATATGCAGTTTTCCCTAAATAAAATAAATCCTCTAATCGCGCACTGTCAATTGTCAACTATCATTTGATTGTTTAAAACACAACTTTGTGTGTGCCTCATCGGAACAGAAAAAAACGCAATCATTACTATTTTGTCCGGCAACGATGTTTCAAGCGCTGTTAAATCATGCATTGAAAAAATAAATACACGTCCATGCGCGGCCGATTGAATACGCCATTCCATATCTTCGTGGAGACCACGGGCGAGATCTTAATTGCCAGATAAATGGGAAAAACGTCCGACCGTTGAGCGTGAACCGCACGTAGAGAAAATGAATGTTCCGCGGGTCGAAGCCGTGACAATAATCATTTCTATGTGAGCGGAATTTCCGCTTTCTGTTTCGAGAAACCCACGAGATCGCTATCGAGTCCAAGGGGGGGGTAAAGAGTAAAGAGGGCTAAGCGTCGACGAGGGTACATTCCGTCGTCGTGCTGTCCCATTGTTACGTGAGAGAAAGAGAGAAAACTTTGGACAAGGCGGATCGCGACAATTTTTTTTTTCGACGTTCCACTTTATTATCCGCGACTTCGACGCGGCCTGTGCATTTTTCATGAGACAATTTTCTCTGTCGTGCCGCCGGCCTATTATCCGCCGCGTATCACATTGACGCGTGCGTACGTCAGGAGAGAGAAAGAGAGGAAGATAACGGAGAAAGTACGTGGACATGCCTCGAAAATGTTACGTACCGTACCCGAGTACACGTGTAGATTCGCCGATAGTTTGTCGATTAATTTCGCGAGATCGCACGCTAAATTGCACCGCACAACGTGCGAGACGGAGAGATCGTGTGCATCGCCTGGAATTACGTCTCCCGCTCCCCGAGAGCGTGAATTTAATTAAACACGGCTATCGGATCTCACTGCAAATATGCGTAAACGCCCGAGGGCGCTCGATATAAGACACCTGAGCGCGCGTAGTTTGCACCAAATTCGCACGCGGAAGATGATCTGTAACCGTGGGGCAGTATCGCGGGATGGGCGGCGGGGCGGAGCGGGGTGGACGCGGAAAGTCGTAATAACAGACTTAAAATTGAGAGCAACGTTATCTCGACAGGGCACGTTCATCTTTCGTTACTCAGCAGGAAAATCGGATGGTTCTCCCCTGATGGAAATCGACGTGAGGGAGGACACGGAGGGTGGAGGGCAGGACGGTTAAATGCCGGTTCTCCCGAGGATTCGACGAGTTAATACTGCCAGACAATCAAAGGGTTTACCTAGTAGCCATTATTTAATTATCGGCGTAATTTTAAATCGCTGTAAAAGCCACTTACAGACGCGGATAGTGACGAGCCGCCGAGTATCGGCCTGTTATCTAACGATCTCCTCTCGGGAGAGAGAGAGGATCCTTTGTGCGCGCGACGGTGGGCGGGCGGATGCTACGTTACGCGTGCAAGATGAGCGACTCGATGCCTTCGTGCATACCGGGCGCGTCTCCGGGGGCCGGGAGATCTCTTCCTAATTTCCCACCCAAATTGCCAAAGCTTGCCGTTTACTTGTCAGAAAAGGGAAAAAGAGAAGCGAAGAATTCTGTCGGCCGATCGCGTAGATCGCGGTTAAAAAAGACTTTAGGACTAAGCCGTATTAAGGCCGCGCAATCATTATTTCGCCACGGGACTATTTTGACATACGTGAAATAAAACGAATCCGGTAATGGCGGATGATGACTATCGTTTACATGCACGTGCAATCGGCCCCCCCTGCTTCCCCCTCCCTCTCTATGCCACTGCCGGAATTTAAATGTCCTCTTCAGGATTCTAAGGGCTACTTCTTTCTCCCTCTTTCTATCCTTCTCTCTCTCTCTCT